CGGCTCATTTTCTTTTTTTTTTTTGATGATGCATTTAGTTTTTTCATTTAATCGATGTACGATTAATTAGTCTATTATTAATATTGTATTATTAATTGTTTACTTTATTCGGATAGAATCCATTCGATATTTTTTGCTCGTAACGAATTAATTTTTGCAGTTACCGAATTCTACGGTGAAACAACATTGCCGACGGTGTCCTGTTGCATTACCGACAGTGTTTTTCTATCGAATCGTGGATAAGGAAGGGATCGAAACCAAAGAATGAAAATATTCGGTAAATTATTTCATAGTGGAAAAAGAAAAAAGAAGAGACGCGATTCGAAAAGAACATCGATGAAAAAACGAAACAGCGTGCCAACTGTACCCCATGACACCTTCCTTTTGGCTGGCAATCAACCAAGAAGACATAAACGAAGACATAGAGTAAGTAAATTATTAATATTTTCCAATTTTTTTAATATCTAGCACCCAACATTTGAATTTTGTATTAGTGAAACGAGAAACTATTATTTCTGTAGTATTTTGAAATAACTAAGAGTAACGATTAGCAAATTATGCTTATGCATCGTTCCTTTCAAGTGTCTAAACTTAGTCAGAAATCGATGTTCAAATTTACGAAAGTTCTTCGTAGAATATAATATTTTATGTCGATTCGTAACTCAAAGCCATCGCTGAGAACGCACACAAAGAAAAGCGCCACTTTGACTGGAATATGACACACCTCTCGAGCAGCTGGAATGTGTCGGCGTGGCTCAGATGCCAGTCTCTTGTGTCCTTTATTATCATTTTCCTAATTCACATTCGATGCAGTACGAAACAAGTGTAGAACAGGTTGCAATTAATTATGATTTTCAAATAATCATAAAATGATTTGGAAGTAATTTTTTTTATATCATTAACATAAAATCTATGAAGGTTCCATATAATTATTTATCTTATAGGAATTCTAACTAGATTTTTACGAGTATCTTGTACTAATAAAACATTCATATTATGTGGAATCATCTTATTGTCACAGACGGATTTAAAAAGAAGATCGTAAAAGCGACATACTTTTTTGTCACATCCGACATTACCGACAATTACGAATTTTAAGCTTGTTAGTAGAAATAAAGTATTCTGTATACTTTGTTCACATTACGAATTGGCGGGAACCAACACTTGTGTTGATTTCATTTAAAATAATTTAAACGATGAGAAAGTTTTTGAAAGATAATTTCTTGCTAACGCTTAATAACGTTTATCAATACAGTCTATGTATGTTCAAGTTATTTTTAAATTTTAGTAACAGATTTATTTACAGTTAATTTCATTTACAATCTACCCGGTTAATTTTGTATTAGTATCAGATCATCATCGTCATATTATAATTTTGAGGATTTGATTACTATAGCTAACTTCTCTGTAAACTTGTTTAACAACAGAATAAAGTTCAATCTTTATTTTTGAAATTTTTTATTCCAAAAAGGACCTAAATAATTATGCGTTAATTTATTCATCTTCACTGAATATTTAACAGAAAAAAAGTAATAAGTATAATATTCTGTTGAAATGTACAATAAAATAGAATATACAGTATCGACTAAAATTCTATTTTGTATGTGCCAAACGGTTCATAACGCGGTTGTTCATAATATGTCTCCTTGATACAATGTAAGGTATTTTATCAAATACAAGTAACATGGATACGTACGTAAAATACGACTTTTTTTCTTATTCGAAACAGTATTCGGAACCAATAAACTGCAACCGAATAGACTTCGCGGCTCGAGATCGGGCCCATCACTATCGAAGCCGAAAACCGGTGCGCAGGCACGCGCATGCAGCGTAGCCTCCCTACTTATTCCCCGGTCCCCTTGCGCAGGTCTCTGGTCCCCACCACTCCCCCCACTCTTCGCGACACGTTCACTCAAGCCAGCTCCGTACTCTTCCCAGCAGCCGCCAAGCCCGTTTCTCATCCGATTTGCGTCGACCTGCCGCTTGCCGTAGCCAAGCCACGCTAGAAGCTACGAACCGATCCTCGGGACGAGAGAAAATCTCTCGATTTCCCGATGCGTGTAATTTTGCATTGCCGTGAATTTTTACCGTGCGTTTCGAGCCGCTCGTCTCGAGCGCGTGCGCCGCGCCGAGAGATCGAGGAATTCGGTGAAGTTTTTCAGTGTGCATTTTAAGTGCATGTGTGGAAACGTTGTGCTGGTGTGCCGTTTGGAATTCCGATACGTGGACCATGGATTTTCTATTCTAAACACTCCGGGACCTGGGATTTTAAGGGCTCCATTTGTTGGACAAGATTGTACTTGCGCACAGCACCGTGAGATATTTCTCTCCTTTCTTAAAATCATAACATTTTTTCGTGTCAAGCGTTATCGTGATTTCTCTTCCGTTCGAAGGAAGACTTCAATGCTTTCTTTTCTTCGCGACTCGATCCGGAGATGGGATGCTCGATAGCTTTTCTTCACTCGAACACGCTTGTCGCAGAATTAACATTGATTTGTGAATTTTACAAATGAACTGGGAATGTTAAATTTTCTTGGTACAGTTCGTTTCTTTTTATATATAAATCGACGTGGAAGCATCTCGACGGACAAGTTTGTTGTCTATTATTGTTTATCGGGTTTCATTCGTTTTTCTAAAGTGAGAATAAATGTGCTGAATATATTGCAGCAACGAAATATAGAAAATCCTCCAATTTAATATTTCTAGTTAGTTTGTACCTGCAGCGAATAAGTCGAGTCTACCTGTTGAACGATCCGGAAATTCTAGTGTTCCCCGTGGTTTCTGAATGCATTTTCTCACAGTTGTTCCTAACGTCGGCCGAGGGTGACTCGGATCATTGGAATTCGTTTCCTGCTGACAATGTGTGTAGTCACTTTTCGAGACGGGGCGAGATCTCTCACTCGAAGTTTCCCCACTTGCCAGACACACCGGTGTGTTTACAGTGGTTCGAACTTGTCCTTGTAGATCCAGATCTAGTTTGGAAAATGGAAGTTCGTGTGTGCGATAGAATCACGGAACACTGCGAATAAAAAAGCCGATCCTATCCGTCTGCATTACCATGCAACAAGTGGCTCTTAGGAGTTTGTTTTGAACTCTGAAAACTTTTGATATCTTAAATCTGTGTTTGAGATTGTTTATATATCAGCTTTGACTACTAAATTCGGTGCAGGTTATCGTTCTTTTTTACGTGTACGTATAAAAATTATATCGTACAAATTAAATTGGTTGGAAGTAATTTTTAACATTATTCTTCATTGCAAAATTTTTTATCAAATGCAATAGGAGAAAATCGAATTGAAAATCCGATGAAACAAAATGATTTGTTTATTCTTTCGTCAGTTCTTATAAGTCTGTGTAAACATGTAAAATGAATAAATCTTGTGGTAAACACGAGTTCTCTCTTGACGTCATCATTTTGTAAATTTACAGTACCGTGTATTAGAAGAATGTAATGGACTCCGGTGAAAGACGCGCGATGCAATCACCAAACATGCAAGAAACTTGAGCACGAGCACATCGTTTTGAAAATCGTCGAGTATAGTAATCGAAATTGTAAAAAAAGTTAGCGTGTCACAAAGTATTATTAAGAGAGAGATAAACAAAAACCAGGAATACATGGCGAGCTTGTGAACGAACGGAGGAGAATGAATGTTGATCGAAAATATTTTTAACCAAGAGTAAAAGGATCGTAGATCGCGTGGATAGTAAGACAGGAGAAAACCGACGGAAATTGAAATCGGTGCGAGCAAAACGAAATATTCAAGATCGCCGTAGAGAAAAACGGCGAGCGTGAAACATGGAATTAGAACGAGGAGGAAAGTGAAGGTCTGACCACTCGAGAGGAAAATGGAATTCCATAACTGTGGGTCACTTTGAATTCTCCTGCGTGGCCGCGCGCGGCTCATCGTGGAAAACGCGATTAGAAAAACTCTCTCGCTGGAAAACGAGGTCGCGCGATTCAATGGAATAGCGCGCGCGATAGATGTGTAATAGAGTAAAAGCAGGGGGAAAAAACGCATCGAAGGAATCTGGGATGCACGTGGGATTGGTCGCTCCTACGCTGCTGCCAGAGACGACGCCTATGCGCCGGAAAACTTCGCTGAGAGAACGCTCAACGGCTTTATTTTTCTAGAAGCCATAGAACTGTGATAAATATACTTCATATTGCACGATTATATTTCTCGAACAACGAAATCCATTTTATATCGAAAATACTGATGAAAAAGGAATATACATACGTTATTTATAAAGTATTCATGGAAAGTACACAATTTACAAAGTAAGATAGGAATTTGCTTAAAGCGGAAAATGTTGCAAGAAAATGCGTATTTTTCTTGACGGACAATCGATGGACATTTTACGAGAAAGAGTTTTCTACGAGAAAGAGAAAAGAAGAAAAATACTGAATAGATAGATCGACTAGTGATTAAGGATTAAATTTGAACAAAGAAGATTTATATTTTTAATGATCTCATCTTTTTTTTATAGCAGTGCAATATTAAAAGAATAATTAGCAACTGTCGTGTAGACATTGTGAACATAAGAAGATATTAAACGAATCTTTTTAGATGGTGTAAGTACGATAATTGAAAAACTGAAGATGCAATTGTAATTGCAAAGGAAATACGTGGAGAAAGGAATATGCACATTTAGCGAATATGTTTCCTCAGAGACATTGAACAGGGGAAAACGTCGGATTTTGAGGCCGAGCTTTCCCAATTAGCGAGAATGGAGAGAAGTGATAATAATGTGGGCGTTGGAAATTCGGGAAATCCACCGAATTCGCCTTCAACGACACACAGCGGTATTCTTCATAATACTTCCGGTGGAACCGATGCACAGGTGCGAACCAATACATTTTTGTGTAAATAAATGGGACCGTACGCAAAGCGTTGTAATGAAGTTTTAAAAATATAAACAAAATCGAATCAACGTAAAATTTTATCTCATTTTTTTCGAAAAATGTTTTTCGAAAATAATTCATTTGTTATTCGAAAAAATTAAGTATAGGAACTCGAATGTTGCCGAAATGAATTCGGAAGTTCTGAGAAATGAATATTTTCGATCTTCTAGAACCTGGAGGAACGATGCTTTGAGAAGCGTTTTTTTATTTACATTTTGTTATTTTAGATGGGGCAAGTCGATTGAATTTGTAGTAAACTTATAATATTTACGATATTTCAATATAATATAATATATATAATATTTATAATATATTATATTATATATAATATATAAATATATTATATATTATTTATATATTATATTATTATTATATTTATATATATTATATTATATTATAATAATATATTTATAATATTTATTATAAATTGAAATATCGTCCCGGATTGGGTTCGAGTTAAATGCGTGTTAAGCAAACGAATCCTCTTAAAGAGAATCCCTAGAATTTTCATCCAATTACTTCTCCAGCTTGTTTCCTCGAATTCTTTCCATCTATTTAGCGAGAAGTACATTCTTAGAAATCCTCTGTATCTAGAACTTGCAAGAATTATCACTTGTTATCGCACTACAACGAAAATGAAATGTTGATCTTACGGCTCTGCAGGATATACTTACTCATCGCTGCTTTTAGAGGTTCCGCGACGTTCTGATTCGTATGGATAATTTTTTTTAGAACGGAGACAGGGCATGGGAGGTCCACCATGTCACAGTTACCAGAGTTCCCGGTTATGGATTCGGAATCGCAGTTTCCGGTGGACGGGACAATCCCCATTTCACCAACGGCGATCCGGCCATAGCGATCTCCGACGTTTTAAAGGCTGGACCCGCCGAAGGAAAGTTACAGTAAGGAATCTTATCTATAAAAATGCGTGAAACTGAACCTTGAACCTTTGAAAAACCTAACAGAACAAACATACATGTAATATCTATTGGACGGTTTACATTTTTATTAGAAGATTTATTTTCCGTTTAAGTTGCATTAATCAACAGTTAGTTTATACTTTAACGCATGCGAGAACAATGTGGCGCGGTGTTTTAGTAGTAATAGCAATTTATAGACTACTATAATAATATAAATAAATATATAATACTATAAATAATATAAGTACTAATTTATATGATATATATTTATACTATATATAGTAGTATTTAGTAGTAGTAATAGCAATTTATTGAATCCGTTGCATTTTCTTGATGACAATTTTCTAAAGGTATTCTATTCTTTAGAGTAAACGATCGGATAATATCCGCTAATGGAATATCGTTGGAGGGCGCCGATTATGGAGCCGCTATCCGCGTCCTTAGGGATTCTGGATCAACGGTTTTATTGATTGTCAAGCGTCGAGCTGCATCGAATTCTGCGGGCACAGGAAACTCCACTCTTCAGAGTCACAGATTGACGCTTACGAGAAATAATAAAAAAGACGGTCAGTAAAGAAATATAATGTCTTTAATCAATACTAATGACTCTTCAATCAATACTAATTCAAAGGATTTCTCTGTATCGACGATTTTTGAGAATATTTTAAAATATTATTATACATTTAAAGATGTCAAAAGTGGATTATTATATTGTTGCAATAATTTCTTGATGCATATTCTTTTTGTCCCAGATTTTGGAATTGTCCTCGGTTGCCGGCTCTATGTGAAGGAAGTAACGCGAGAGAACTCAGGAGTGAAACTAGGAGACGTATTAACTCGAATTGGTAGCGTGGCTACAGATAATATGAGCCTCAAAGAAGCCAAAAAATTAATGGACCAATGCAAAGACAGATTATCAATCGTGGTAACCCGAGATAATTCTTGCTGTCATGCCCACCAGCAAGCAAAGACTGAGACCGGAGAATATCTCTCGGGAACAACAAGCTATAGTAGTCAGAACTTGTATGTTCCACCACCGACAAGGCAACCGATAGAAGATAAAAGCAACCTTGTTCCTAGAGGTCGGACAAGAGGACCTCTCATGGACGTCTCTCTTAGTCAATTGGATCTTCCCGCAACGCCTACCGTTGATCCTCCTAGACCACCGCCTCCTAGACCAGAAGGTATAATGTATTATTTTGTATATTTTGGTATTTTGGGTATCTCGTTAGAACACAATGACATTTTTGACAATTTATACGAATACAATGAATATATCGTTTTTTACCATTTATTATAGATTATTATGGGACTAGAAGGCAACTCTATGACGAAGAGTTGTCACGGAATAAACTTCCAATGTGAGTATTATATCATGTTATGCTGTTTATATTTTTATAAAAAAACTTGTTTCTAAGATATAAGTACCTACATTATACAAATATTTTGTTAGGCCTGATCCCCGATTCATTACTTTCCAAAAAGAAGGATCAGTGGGTGTCCGTCTAAGTGGTGGAAATGAAACTGGTGTTTTTGTCACTGCAGTTCAAGCAGGGAGTCCAGCATCTCTTCAGGGTTTGCAACCTGGCGATAAAATTCTGAAGGTTAATTTATTTTTTTAATAATAAGTTTTAATTACATTAAAAATACTACGGAGTAAAGCATGTCTATTTATAATCACTAACGAAACGTATTAATACATTTTAGATAAATGATATGGACATGAAGGGAGTAACAAGGGAAGAAGCTGTTCTTTTTCTGCTCAGTCTGCAAGAACAGATCGACTTGATTGTTCAACATCGACGACAGGAATACGATCAAGTAGTAGCTTCAGGAAAAGGCGATTCTTTTCATATAAAGTAAATATTATATGAAACATGTGAAACGTTTATTGTTAATACGAGTCAATAATAATATTTTTTAAAAAACATTGCAGAACTCACTTCCATTATGAACAACCTCAAAAGGGTGAAATGAGTTTCCGAAGCGGAGATGTGTTTCATGTGGTGGATACGTTACACAATGGGGTTGTTGGTTCTTGGCAAGTCTTCCGCATCGGTAGAAACAATCAGGAAGTACAGAAAGGAATTATCCCGAATAAAGCTCGAGCCGAAGAACTAGCAACCGCGCAATTCAACGCGACAAAGAAGGAAATGAGTGCGAGTGAAAGCAGAGGTAGCTTCTTTAGGAGAAGAAGAAGCAGCCATAGACGTTCAAAATCCTTGGGAAGGGTAAATCTCTTCCATACTTGCTGGAATAAGAATTAACAATTCGGATAATTTTACCGTAATAATTATTTCCGTGTTTTTTTTAGGATCACTGGGACGATGTTGTGTTCTCAGACAGTGTTAGCAAATTTCCTGCCTACGAAAGGGTTATTCTAAGGCACCCGGGTTTCGTGAGACCTGTTGTTCTTTTCGGACCAGTTGCAGACTTAGCTAGAGAAAAACTTTTAAAAGATTTTCCTGATAAGTTTACATCGCCACGTAAGTGAGAATTACTGCCAAACTTAGTTAATAAAATTAATTTGAAAAATCTTGAGGAAACATGCTTTCGTTTATAGAGATGGAAAACCAATTGGAGGACAGCGTTGGTAAAAATACTAAGTCATCGGGCATCATCCGATTGAGTGCCATTAGAGAAGTCATGGACCGTGGAAAACATGCTTTACTTGATATTACTCCCAACGCAGTGGACCGACTGAACTACGCGCAATTCTATCCTATAGTTATTTTTCTGAAAGCAGAAACGAAGCAAATTATCAAGGAAATGCGAGCCGGAATTCCCAAGTGAGTTTTTATTCAGCTAATGTGCAGTGCCACAGTAATAGTGGAAGTAAATATTTATAGTCCAATTTAATGATTAATTAATTCGTTCACGTGATCATTAAACTTACCAGTACCATTTCATAGCTAACATCACAAAAATGCCGAAATTGATCTCGACAATTCTAATTTTTTCCAGATTTTTAGTAAAAACCATTATGTTTTTTAGATCAGCACACAAGAGTAGCAAAAAGCTTTTGGAACAGTGTCAGAAGTTGGATAAAATTTGGGGCCATACGTTCAGCGCCGTAATCACGTTAACCACCCCAGAGGCTTGGTACCGGAAGTTGAGAGAACTGATTGACCGACAACAACAAGGATTACTATGGATGAGTCAGACTAAGGTAATGTTTTCTAAATTTTCTAAAAACACTTTTAAAGTTACATGCTTATAGTGATTTACCAACAAACCTGATCGCAATGAATTAAAGTTGATAATTCGATGATGGGTGCTTATAATATTAAATGAAATCTACGCTCATGCATAAATATGGAGGTTTTGTGAACTGGATTGTCGTTTAAATGATAAAAATCCTATTCGGCTGGGAACTAATGGGATTACGTTGATAAAATTATTTTATGATAATTTATTGTAGCCATGGTATGGTCGACAAATGACGTGGGAGCTATGTCATACGTCCGGCGACCCCCGTGATTTACCTCCCCCTCCCGTACCCCCATTCTCAAAGGAGACGGCATTTCATGACGTAAACGAAAATGACACTTATCACACGGACAAATTATTTTCGTTACCTTCTTATCCGTCTCTAACTTCTGATGTTGTCCGTGAGCAATTTTTCGGCTACATTTAAATCCTGCTTATCCTGTTTGGGGTGTCTTGATTATCATCTTTCAGTCGATGAATTTTTATGTTACATTTTTTAAGTTAATTCAGCAGCGCCTCAGGTAGATTTTGCCCCTTGTTTTGTACGATTTTTTTACAAGTTTATTTTATTTGTAAATGTACAATGTGGCAGGTCCCATTTAGAGATATATATGTTTTTTCAAGTTTACTGTTAAAATTGTTATATAATTACTAATACCATATTTTAAGATATTCGAGGCACCTTGCATTCCATGTCAAGTTCAATTTGCATGATTGCATTAAACAACTTCATCATGCATCATATTAAATTATAAGACAGGCCAATGTTATTGTGTAAGGTATTTAATGTAGTGTAAAATAGTCAAACAACAGTCAATATGAACCACATTTGTTAAGATTCATTATTGGGGAAATATTCAATGGGAACATCACGAGGTATGAGCAACTCTGCTTTATTTATGAATATAATGTCATGTTAACAATTCCTTAATTATTTCATTAATTATACGAGTAACCACGTAAAAATAATTATATCTATTTAAAAAGATTCGATAAAACTTTTTGATGTAAGAAATTATGGAACTATAGTATTGGTTCGTAACATACGTCTTTCAATACTTATTATAAATAATACTCTACGCATTTTCAATTAATTGAGAAATATAAGAAGAATAGGCACAAACGTTCAGCTTAGAATTTAATAAACAATAGGCATGAAATCAGTACAGCGTTTTAACCACATTAATTTTCTAGGAATTCTTTCAATCATTCACCCTGCATCTTCTTGAACGTACTAACCGAATATTAAGTGTTATATTTTGTCTGGACTTTCATGTATTGGCTCAGCGGTGTTGAATAATTGTCAAACATTCTACTATCCCAAATAAAAACTAAAAAAAATTGCAGAGCATAAAAACATATTTGCTCCCAAAGGTTTTTCTTTAATTTAATTCTCTCTAATTTCTTCAATAATCTTTTATAAACTACTTAATCCGATATACGACTTCGCATCATTTAATGGCAAATGTTTCTTTTTCATTTCAATTTTAACCCTTTCAGACATTGTTCATTTAATTAAAATAGTCTCGTTTAATATAGTAATTTATCCTAACATTTATAAGAAAATAATAATTATCATTTTATTTAAAAAAAATAGACCTTTGAAAATGTTATAAATAAAAAGAATGGTCTGGAGGGGATAAAACGCATAAGCCACTGTAACATGTTGTCCTCTGTGTCCTACGATGATAGCCGGAAGAAGCACTCTCGGATGACTTCCTATTCCCGATGACTTCTCGCCTCTCCTATGCTTCCTCTCCGGAGAGTGACTTGGAACTTAGTCCGGCACCAGCTTTGCCGGGTGCTTTGGGTGCACCCTCTAGATTGAAGAGCAGCTCTGATCCAAGTATTGCCACACAAGATGATATTGCTGCCCCACCACCATACTCGACCACTTATCAGGTAAATATACCACTCATATTCAAGTATTTACATTCAATCAATTATTCTCTACTTTTCTGCACAATGTTGATAAATTCCACCATGAAATATACAGACTATTTTATAGTCAATAATGATTTCAAACTGATCCATCTTCCATTTTAAGGAATATATTTTATTTGTAATATTATTTATATTATATATATTATATTATAATATTATTTATATAATTACACAAATAGACTTCTTCAAACTTCAAATGTGATTTATTCTAGCAATCGTTTGAACAACCAAAAAGAAGATCACAAGGAGGTATGGGGGATGGAAAATATGGGTTTTCATTGTCGGGACAAGTCAGTAATCAGTCCGGTTCACCTGAATATTTCGGTGGCTCATTCGAACCAAGATCATCTCATCATAGTCCACCTGATTTACCACCGCGAGTGGATCGGAATGCGAAACCTAGTAGTCAGTCAGGAAGAAATACTATCGGTAGATCTGCGCAAGAAAGATTACTTAATAAAACAGATTCGGTGCTGGATGTAGCAAATTATATAAATGCCACACCTCATAAAGCAAATGCTACGTCGTCGCTGGAAAGAGCTCAGCCAAAAGCGGTAAATTCTTTATTAACATTAAAATTTCAAGTGTAAAGTAATTTTGTATTATCCGCACAGACGCGCAAAAAGAGCGGTAAATTAAACGACTATTCGTATTATCTGAAACGTTTCGTACCCAATTTAAATATTTCATTTTGCACACAGGGTAGTTACGATAGTGTGTCTTCTTATGACTCCTACAACAATACGAATGGAAATGCAAGTTATGGAACTCCTGGTTTGAATACGTCCACGAGTCGATTAGGTCCTAATGTACCGGATGATTTAAAAGGCAGTGGTGCGCCAGCGAGGTCACACGACCCTTACAGATTCACTAGATCAACAGCACAACCAATTCCCAATCATGATCCACAGACACGGACTGACTACGCTAAATACAGGTATGCTCGGATTTTCATTTCTAAAAAATTGCATTCTTTCGTGAAAAGCAAATTAAATCTTGTGACATTCAAAAATGTTGATATATGCAAGAAATCGGTGTAAAGCAACGAATACATTGTAAGGCGCAAGCACCTTATCAATAATAAACTACAATATGCAAGAAATATATATAAAAATATATGCTGTATATATTTATATTATACATATATTATACTCGGTCAAGAAATTCAGAAATGTTTAAATTTGCTTTTTTAATTTCACTTTTTTTTTCTTCCTGCCTAGTGCGATGTCACGGAAACCTCGGCAATTAAGAAGAGCTTATAGAATATACATTTCTAGCCAAGATACGTTAGTCTAAATATTTTATTTGGTTAATTTGTTTATTTCACTTAAAACTGATATTTTAATATACGTAGCCTTTTGCATATAAAAAATTTGTATATATCTTGAAAATTCCTTTGATTATAAAAATTGTACGATCTAATTTATACATATATGTATACATATTGTGTACTATGGATAAATGTACACATTTATCAGTTGCAGTTGTACTTAGATAACTTCACAAAAGTATATGCATACAAATGTTAATGCCATCATCATAATTTATGTTCATTGAAAATTCGTGCCTCTAATTAATCTGCTCCTATTAAACCGCTCGTTTATTTAAATTTTAGTGTATTTCTCCACTATTACTGAACCAATTTCCATTGTATCCCTGTATGCTAGAAGCTAGACTATTCTGCTTTATACATTGTAGCCGCACAACTGATTACAAGTCGATAACGCTACCCCAAAACAAACCTGGAGGATCGTACAAACCAATACCACCTCCGAAACCAAAAAACTATAGACCACCGCAGGCGAATATAACGCAGCCGGAAAGTAACGGAAGCGAAGGGAATAACACAACTCACCAACATTCAAAAAGCTACTCCATTGCCACCTCTCACGTAAGTAATCATTTATTATCCGTGCGAATACTTGTATTCCTTGTGTCTGTCGTAAACGTAACAGCAGAAAATTGAAGCTAAACATTTGTTATATTCTGTAGGTAGAAGGTAATAACAACGTTCAGCGTAACAGTGGTCAGTACTATTACAATATTCCACCTCCAAATCGTCACGATTCGAATCTCACAAATTCCCATCACAACTTGAGCCATTTGTCCACGCCTGCACACAATCATAGTTTGAGTCACACGCATCCACATTGTAACCCGCCAATGTCAACTCATAGTCACAGTAATAGTGCCAGTCAGTTGAGTCTCGGTCTCTCCCATAACAGAAACAACGTAAATCACAATGGATATGTTGTGAACAATGGTCATAATGCGTCCGCGCAAAATTTTCCAACGAGTCCCGGACATAACAGAGAACCAAGTGCTTTAGATCTCGCCGGAAGTAGGGAACAAAGAGGAAGCGCCTTCGAACTTTATCGCAAACCTATGCACCATTATAACGCAAGGTAATATAATTATTTTCTTGTACAGAAATGAACAAGAAATATCATCACATAAAGCTGTATTAATCACTATATTTGATTTACAGTTAACGTGCACAATAATTTCATAGTTTTATTGTTAAACGAGAAATGAAAGGAAGAATTGATCTTATCAACTGAAGACAACCGTTGAAGACTATGGAGATTTGAATGAATAATTCGTTATAAAGATTAAGAATGAAAACGAAGGAAAATTTCAGAGCGTGTCCTCTAATTTAGGAGAGATCAGATAAGTAGAAAATTAAACATGTTTCATTTTTTCCACCCTGAGTTTGTACATACGACTTTAACAAAAACATATAACAAAGTCTTGCAATAACAATTGTTAAATAAAATTTTTTTACTTGAAGTTTCGTTAGTAAAACACGTTATTGTCTTCCTTTCTTTAAGAATATTCTGATTCATGAAAAATATATAACAAAAAAACTAAATAAGACTTTTAACTACTTGTAATATCTAGTAACACAGTGTAATAAAATTTTATAGGTATATTTTTAAGGAATAAGTCGAAGTCTTCTTGAGGCAGGTTTACTTTTTGTACAACGTCAATATACATTGATAACATTTTACTACTTCTATTACTTATTTGTATAGAATCTCGACTAAAATTGACAGTGAATTTTCGTTTGGGAAAATTTCCTAAAATTTTCCCACAATATTTTGGGATGGAGAAAGGCAGATAAACAGTTTAACTCTAAATTGTTATGATCCTTTTTAAGAATTGAGGTTCCGTAATTTAATCATTTATGAACAATATTTCTATAAAAACTTAAATAGAATGCATCACAGTTTCTGGCAATTTTTTCCGATTTAAACAAATTCAAAGAAGTGTGATGTCTTCCTTAAAGATCTTTCTCAAAGGTACAAAAAGCCGTGTTAAAGTAATAGAACAAATTGTACTAAAACTATAACATAATTTTTTTAAATATAAGATACAAAAAATAAGTCTACTTTATTGGAACTTACTACTAATCATACCAACTAAGAGTTAA